AAAAAAATCAGTGCGATTGTGGAAGATCCTCGGGATCGTCCAGACTAATAATTAGTTAATTTTTTTATAAGGCCATAACCTGTAAACTATTCAACTTACCGATTCCAGATTTCGTAAGAGTTATTAGATAGTGATAACGAATGAGAGGATGCGATGCGAAAACGTTCTGGTAATAATAACGCAGTTTATAAATGTTTAATTCAAAAGTCATAAATAAACTTCTTCTGTTTATAACTTTTAAATCAATATTTTTTGACGCTCGAGGGCTAGTTTTTAAGGTCTTTTGAAGACGAAAAAAAAGTCCTTCACTGCTTTCTCGTGGAAATGAACGGAAAAAAGTTATAAACGGAAAACGTGAATTTACGTAAAAAATATACAATTAACCATCCTGTAAACAATCTTCTCCCCATTTTTATGATTGTGGAAACTATTATGTTATTGTACATAATATTTAGCATCTGTAGTGATAAATTCAGTTTACAGAAACAAAAAGTCGCGAAATGGTCATTTTACAGCTTATTTCCTGGCCTATTAGGCTCGTTCAATAAAGAATCACTTTACTGACTTGGTTATTAATGTAAATACATAACTATTATTTTAAACCCGAAACTTATAGTAAACACGAACAATAAACTTTGTACTGACACTACTTCAGGAATTTACAGGCTTTTTTAAAACATGGCAAAATAAGAATAAGATAATTATCATTTATTTAATATTTATAACATGTCTTTTAACTTAAGTTTTCTCATTTTATGTATACTTTTAACATATGTAAAGAAGCAAACAGAGACTAGCAGAGTAAGCATGGGTAAACTACCCCAGTACCAATTACAGCGTGTATATTCTCAAAATACTGCTTATTATCTAAAGTTTGGTAAATTTTAGATCAGAGCCCTCCCTTTTAAGAGAAATATAAGAGTAGTAGCTCTTAATTATACAATTTTTTTTCTCGATTTCTACCCAAAATATTAAAAGAAAGGAGTAAGTATTTCTCAATATCGCACCAGGTTTTTTTTTGTATTATATTTCTTTCCGAACAGATCAGAGAAACATTTTTTATGGCAGTTTTTATGGACATGCCCTCAAGTTAGGTTTTTAAAAATCATAAGTTACAGTTCACCTGTTAAATTTTATTTATGAAAGTTTCAGAAGTGCTGACATGGTGAAATACTGTAAAAAATACTGTAAATATCATAATACGTAATTAATTAAAAATTAAATTTATTAAGATAACATTAGAAGTCCCAAGTCGAAATAAAGGCGTAATATTTTTTACATTTGCCTAATTCCTTTGCCATAAAACTTTTGTGACTGATGTTTTCATATATATAATTGTTTTTAAACTTGCCTAACTTTTTTACCATTTCCCTTTTATAAGCTCAGCAATAAAGAATCATAAATCCTTTTAAATTAATCATTTTAAAATAAGTGGGATATTCATTTTACTAAAAAATAACGACATTATGGATTTACTTAGATTGAATATCCACTAGGAAAACCAAAAAGGATGTTTTATGGTCATTTAATTTATAGAAAACCTTTTTCCTACACATTGGTATTTTAGCAAAAAAAAAATGTAAAGTTAAGAGTTTCCACCCATATATTTCTTTTGAAAGGGGGAGATCTATAATTTCTCAAAATAAATATTGTAATTGGTAGTGGATTACGTCGCCCATACTTAACCTGCTAGATTCCTTCGGGTATTTTTTCCTTTAATTTCTTATGATTACGTCATTTGAGATTTGATCCAGGGCAAAAAATTCGTTATGTTCGTGTATACCCCAGGCCATCCTGTCTCTCCACAGCCCACACCGAAACTCACAATGCCGGATGCATACCAAATTCCCTTATCATCAGACATCATCAGGGGACCTCCAGAATCTCCTGCACAGGAATCTTTTTGGTACTCTCCTCCAGCGCAGATTTGAGTATCAACGATTTTTATGTTGTACAAAGAATATTTTTTAATGCACTGAGCTTTGTCGAAGAGGGGTACTTCTACCTTCAACTTTATTTCGCTTCTTGTTCCTAAAAATAAAAAGCAATTGTTTAGTCAAAATTGCACTTCTCTAGAGTGTTTTCNGCCCATACTTAACCTGCTAGATTCCTTCGGGTATTTTTTCTTTTAATTTCTTATGATTAAGTCATTTGAGATTTGATCCAGGGCAAAAAATTCGTTATGTTCGTGTATACCCCAGGCCATCCTGTCTCTCCACAGCCCATACCGAAACTCACAATGCCGGATGCATACCAAATTCCCTTATCATCAGACATCATCAGGGGACCTCCAGAATCTCCTGCGCAGGAATCTTTTTGGTACTCTCCTCCAGCGCAGATTTGAGTATCAACGATTTTTATGTTGTACAAAGAATATTTTTTAATGCACTGAGCTTTGTCGAACAGGGGTACTTCTACCTTCAACTTTATTTCGCTTCTTGCTCCTAAAAATAAAAAGCAATTGTTTACTCAAAATTGCACTTCTCTAGAGTGTTTTCTCCTTTATTTTTATAATTTTATAACAACGGTTAATTAATTTGGAGAGGTAACCCAGATGAGTAAATGTAAAAATTCGCTACACTTGCATGCAGTTATGTTGTGGTAGAGACCTAGAATTATTAAAAACGTAAAATTTCGACAACGGTATTTTGGAAACTCAATCAGTTCTTTTAGCTTTTACTCGTGTTTCAACCGAAAGAAAGTATGAATGTTTGAGAATTAGAACAGAAAATAGCAAAAGCAGGAAAAAAGCTGTTGAAGAGAAGATTGTGAAGCCAAAACCTCCGCACACCGTTCGAGGGCATCAACTAATCGACATAGGCACAAAGCATGCACTGCTCTTTTTGCAAACAACTTTTACGTATTTTAGATCATCTATAAACTGTGATCACGAAGTGATTCGCTTAGAAAAGTTTTAGTATGATTTAGTTACATGCATAAGTAGCATACTACTATGATGCACTTCTGTGAATACAAATGTTCCTTATAAGAGAAGGGTTTAAAGCGATTGCATTTATCAAAGTATAATACAATTTGACATATTATGTAGAATTACACTGTGTTACCTGTGATGCGATGTTATTGCAGCCAAAAATACATATTCTAAAAAATGTACTGAAATTATTGAAATGTTAATTTTAAAATGAAAAATTAAACTAAATCAAATTTACTCACCTTTCTCAGTATTGCCCCAACCACTTAAGGTATATTTAGTAGAAGGTTGAGTATCGTCCATTACCAGACAAATGAGTTGAACGAAATCTAAAAAAAAAAATATTTAAATTTTTCCAAAATGGCGTCCCTCGCTTTTTATCCATTGTGGAGAAAATATTGAAAATTATGCGACTAAATAATTATTACATTCAAAATTTGTGATTAAGAAAAGATAAAGACATGCATAGTCGCTAAATTATTCATTAGCGAAAATTACAAAAAAAAATACATTTATACTTTTTTCTACAAAACCTACTTGTTAATACAGCCTCTTGTCCTAGTTTAATAATAGCGATATCGTTGAATTGTCCTGAGATTTTAGGATCATAATTAGGATGAGTCGTCACTTTATCAATAATTATATTCTGAATATTTTTAACACAGTCATTTCCTGAGCAATCTACAGTTGTTTGCGTATTGTGTTCTCCTAACAGAACAGAAATTCTGGAAACAAGTATACGATTATAAAGTAAAAGAATAAAACGTCTCTTTTGTTTATAGTGTTATTACGTCTTGTTGCTTTATACCCTTAATTTTTCAATAAATTACATAAAAAGTATCTCTATAAAGTGTTTCTTGTGAAAATGCATGTTATTATGGCCCTCGGAGCCCAACAATTAAAAAATAGCTACACTTGGAATAACAAGCAGAGGATATCTTTTGTTTTAAGATGCCTAATTGTTCAGAATATAGCACATAAGTCAACTTATTCAAATTCAAATTATTTTCACTGACAAGAGCAACACAATGAAATTGACTAAAATTCTCCATAACTTTTCCACTAGTTTATTTTCTGGCCATAAACTTTTATCAAAACGTAGTTTGATAATCTGTATACAAGACCAGTAAAAAAATGTTTCTGAGCTATTGTCGACAACAATAATTTTATTTATTTGTTTTGTAATTCATTAACCCTTTTTATACCTTTAATGAAATGGTAATTATACATTTTAGTCTTTTAATACTACTTCAATTCGCTTATTTGTATTATTAACAGCTTGTATTAATGATGATTGATGATATTTGTAATAAAAGAGTTCGCTTTTTTTTTGTAAATTAAAGTTTATTTATTCAACGAAAATGAAGGTCGACCCTGTGTTATTTATTAAAAACTTTGGAAATGATTTTATGCGACCCGAGATGCAACCTTATAATTTAAATCGGTATAATCTAATACTAGTAATACTAAAAGAAGATTAGGTTACATTGTCAAAAAATTTGTGCAGTCAACTGATTTTGTATTTGTATTGAATTCATTAGTCACTTAATGATTAAATATTAAGCATCGTCCATCGACCCATCAGTGTTAAAAAGTGAAAGATTCCAGACAAAAGTTGTAATTCCACGATAGTGACAGTGTAACCTTTATAAAGAAGTAAAAAATAATAATAGAGTGCCGATTACATTAAAAACGAAATTCTTATTTCTTACTTTGCTTAATTTTTTAGTTTGTGCACAAATTAGTTTTAGAATGAACCGATAAAACAATGCATTTACTATTTCCGAACGTGTCGATATGGTGTTAGTGTATGGTGCTGCCGGAGAAAATGCGCTCGCGGCGACTAGGTTGTACCGGGAACNTATTATGTAGAATTACACTGTGTTACCTGTGATGCGATGTTATTGCAGCCAAAAATACATATTCTAAAAAATGTACTGAAATTATTGAAATGTTAATTTTAAAATGAAAAATTAAACTAAATCAAATTTACTCACCTTTCTCAGTATTGCCCCAACCACTTAAGGTATATTTAGTAGAAGGTTGAGTATCGTCCATTACCAGACAAATGAGTTGAACGAAATCTAAAAAAAAAAATATTTAAATTTTTCCAAAATGGCGTCCCTCGCTTTTTATCCATTGTGGAGAAAATATTGAAAATTATGCGACTAAATAATTATTACATTCAAAATTTGTGATTAAGAAAAGATAAAGACATGCATAGTCGCTAAATTATTCATTAGCGAAAATTACAAAAAAAAATACATTTATACTTTTTTCTACAAAACCTACTTGTTAATACAGCCTCTTGTCCTAGTTTAATAATAGCGATATCGTTGAATTGTCCTGAGATTTTAGGATCATAATTAGGATGAGTCGTCACTTTATCAATAATTATATTCTGAATATTTTTAACACAGTCATTTCCTGAGCAATCTACAGTTGTTTGCGTATTGTGTTCTCCTAACAGAACAGAAATTCTGGAAACAAGTATACGATTATAAAGTAAAAGAATAAAACGTCTCTTTTGTTTATAGTGTTATTACGTCTTGTTGCTTTATACCCTTAATTTTTCAATAAATTACATAAAAAGTATCTCTATAAAGTGTTTCTTGTGAAAATGCATGTTATTATGGCCCTCGGAGCCCAACAATTAAAAAATAGCTACACTTGGAATAACAAGCAGAGGATATCTTTTGTTTTAAGATGCCTAATTGTTCAGAATATAGCACATAAGTCAACTTATTCAAATTCAAATTATTTTCACTGACAAGAGCAACACAATGAAATTGACTAAAATTCTCCATAACTTTTCCACTAGTTTATTTTCTGGCCATAAACTTTTATCAAAACGTAGTTTGATAATCTGTATACAAGACCAGTAAAAAAATGTTTCTGAGCTATTGTCGACAACAATAATTTTATTTATTTGTTTTGTAATTCATTAACCCTTTTTATACCTTTAATGAAATGGTAATTATACATTTTAGTCTTTTAATACTACTTCAATTCGCTTATTTGTATTATTAACAGCTTGTATTAATGATGATTGATGATATTTGTAATAAAAGAGTTCGCTTTTTTTTTGTAAATTAAAGTTTATTTATTCAACGAAAATGAAGGTCGACCCTGTGTTATTTATTAAAAACTTTGGAAATGATTTTATGCGACCCGAGATGCAACCTTATAATTTAAATCGGTATAATCTAATACTAGTAATACTAAAAGAAGGTTAGGTTACATTGTCAAAAAATTTGTGCAGTCAACTGATTTTGTATTTGTATTGAATTCATTATTCACTTAATGATTAAATATTAAGCATCGTCCATCGACCCATCAGTGTTAAAAAGTGAAAGATTCCAGACAAAAGTTTGTATTTTCTAATTCCAAGATAGTGACAGTGTAACTTTTATAAAGAAGTAAAAAATAATAATAGAGTGCCGATTACATTAAAAACGAAATTCTTACTTCTTACTTTGCTTAATTTTTTAGTTTGTGCACAAATTAGTTTTAGAATGAACCGATAAAACAATGCATTTACTATTTCCGAACGTGTCGATATGGTGTTAGTGTATGGTGCTGCCGGAGAAAATGCGCTCGCGGCGACTAGGTTGTACCGGGAACGATGGCCACAACGTCACCCGCCATGTGCAAATACAATCCTACAGTGCTAATGGGGATCAATTTCAACATTTTCTCTAGAAATGGTAAGTTTTATTTAATTTTTTTCCATATTTAAATGGAGTTTGTTTAGTGCACGCAGTTGGCAACTATAGATGCTTACGGATGTGACTTTGTTTGCGAACTCTTGCAGTAACAACAATGCATTTAAGATAGTAATTACTAAACATCAGTTTTTTTTAAATATCTATTTTTCTTAATTGAACTTTAATTTACGAAAAAAAAAAACGCAAGAATAGAACAATGTCTTGTTTTCAATATAAATTTGGAATAAATAAATAAAAATGCCTCTAATTTCTGAGCCATTAATAAATTGAGCATGGCTTTATAAGTCAATTTTATTTACATACGCCATGCACTATCCTGTACTTATACATACATTGGTCCTCTTTGTTTAGTGGCACTGGAGTGTGTGCAATGGGCTGCTGTAATGACGTATTTTACACCTATCAAAAAACCCGCGCAACCGAGTATGTTCTCGCCCCTTTTGTTTCTGTGTATAAGAAGAGCCATCCAAGGGAATTCACCTAGAGAAGCCTCTCTACCACCAATTATCCTTTGACGGAAATGCTGCTCCTGGTAACCACACAGTTTTGCTAAAACATCGCCTCTAATAAAAAACAAAGCTTCCAATATCGACATTTCTGTAATAGAGCTTCTATACGCGGTGTCATCGAAACAAAGGTTTTCCATTTAGTACATTTTTATTTATTGGAAAATGATGAAAAATAATATAAGTAAAACCAACACATAAATTTTAAGCTGCACTGAAGTTGTTAAATTAATTTTTAAACACTACTTTGGGGTCAAAAAAAATCTTCTCTCTAAGATTTTTAGTTCACGAAGGGATAGAGTCAATAATCACCACGCTAAGCTTTGCAACGGATGTGAAGTATATTGGAGTCACACTCGACGCAAAGCTAACATGGAATCTTCACTTGAAGAGAAGAATAAAAATACCATATCCTATAGGCTATGAGCAATGCCGCAGAACTGTTGGAAAAACCTGGTCGATGAAAGCAAAGGCAATCATGTGGATATACACTGCCATAGTGAAACTAATAGCAGCTAAACAGAAACTCAGCTAGGTGCAAAGAATAGCTTACCCGAGCGTTCCAGGAGCTATGTGAACAACACCAACGTTAGCAATGGAAGTGATGCTATATGTGCCACCCTTAGATATTTATCTAAAGGAGGTGGCTCTGACAACTATGCTTCGCTGCAAGAACATTGATGTTAAAACAAATATAGGATGTTGAGAAGTCAGATGTCGCCTATGGAATGAGGCCGTCAGGAAGATGCCTCTTCTGCAGGCAAACACTGTGAAGATTTCTACTCAGTTTGTGTTTGACAGACCCTACACAGTACTCATCAAAAACGAGGAGGAGACCGTCAGTGTGGGTGTAATTACATCTTCATTCACGGATCAACAAAGAAAGAAGGTACAGGATTTGGGATCTATTCTAGATCCTACACATCCAATATCAGTGGGCTATGGAAGTGGAACTGACAGGTATAACTATAGCTGCTAAAGAAATTGCCCGTAGGCAGATAACGGGCAAATGTATTAGAATCTACACAAATAGTAGACAATCAATACTGATCTCACATAATCGATAATAAGATAATGTCCAGGTCGGTATGGGAATGCCACCAAGTGCTGGTGGTGGCTTCAGCTACCAACAGCATATCTGTATGTTCGGTTAAGGGATATGATCGGTGCAATGGCAATAAAGAAGCTGATAAGCTAGCTAGGGGGGCATCAGGTCATACTATATTTGGACCCAGTCCCTCCAGTGTGCTCTCGTTGTCAGAATTTTTTGAAATGATTAAGGAAAACACCCACAAAGAGTTTAGAACACGGAGGGATGAAATAAACAGATGTCAATTTGCTAAGGAGTTTTTAGGATACCCCAGCAAAGACACAGCTAAAAAACACCTGGCTTCGTCTGCTGTCGGGTATTCAGATCGGACACTGTTGGCTAAGGAAACCTCTACAATATGAGGAAGTGCGAAACACCTCTCTGTAGAGGTTGTAAGCAGGAAGACGGGACAGTTTTCCATGTACTCTCATCAACGAGAGAATTCGTGCTAGGAGAACGGTGGCCTTCGATGGCCTACATCAGAGAGCAAGCCCCTGAGCAACGTCATCACCTTTTTCTCCTTGATAGGCTGGTTAACAGCTTAGGAGGGCTGATCTCTCGCTAGGAGGATGCACAAGAGGCCTTATAGGGCCTAAGTGCTGTAGCTCAGTATATACTATTCCAGAATTCCTGTCAATAATTCCTGCCTATAAGTTTACTACAAAATTTGTTCCACCAACTGAACGTTATTAACCACGTTTTGACAAAATATATCTTTGTCAACTTCTAAAATACGGTTCGTAAAAGTTTTCCTCACTATTTAGTGGTTATTGACAACGCTCTCAAGATGATCTTGGGGTTCGCTTAATATTTTTCATACTTTGTAGTCCCATTTTGCAAGAATTTCTAAAGTTTCCTTCTCTAATTGTAACAAGCAATGGTCGTACTTGCCTTGGTCTATCTCCCACGATGTTGTGCTCATCCAATATCTTGAAACCCGAAACGTCAGCGGAAAACTTTCAGCATAGTAAAGCGATGCTCCTGCCACGTTGTGCTGAAGTTCACCGCAGATTAACAACATACCAACGAATTCATTGTTGTCATACATATGTATCATTTTTTAAAAATGATCACTAACTTCTTCAAATATAGTCAGTCTCATCAATAACACAACAATAAACTAAGTTTTCAAACACCCCAGACACGTCCAATAAAATTCCAACTGGCTTTTGTTATTAATTATATCTTTTTTTCAAAAATGATTTGTTTTTACAGGTACTTGTAAACGTTAAGAGGAAAATCCCTATTTCAATGACACAGCGCAGGAAATTACAAATGGTTTATAAATGTTATTATACCAATATTTTTATCATTTTGGAAGTTACTGTGTTTTTCACAACATACTTTGGGGTTACCATCTTTGGATATACCACACGAGGATGCCCGTATAAAGGGCCACATTTCCTTATTATTCAGTTGTTGTACAAGGATAGGACACGATCTGATATTTACACAGAATCCAGAGCTGTTATTCGGTGTCTCACATTCTCTAATCATATCTAAAAAGAGATGCACTACTATCAAGTTTGAAAATTTTTCTATAAACACTTAAATTAGCATTAGAATAATCGGTTGATTGAAGCACATATTTTATTTTAGAAAAAATACAGGTTGTTTTGCATAAGAACCGATACAGAAGAGGGGTATGTAGGGGAACCTAAAATGTGGTGATTTAACGTAACTTACCTTTATACTAAGCTGTACCCCTTGAGAAGTTATAGGCCTTGAAAATGGGGTTTCAAATTTCGAAAAAAATCACGGTGTGAATGTGCCAAAAGCATTGATCGACAGTAAATAGAGTTCAATTGAAACATTTCAAAGGGTTGATAAGGATTAAAATAAATTGTTTGCTGAATGTTTTGAAAATGGCCAGGTGTTCATTTAGCGAACAAGTTGACATACTATTAGTGTTAGAATTCTGTGAAAGAAACTACAGGGTGTCCCGTAAAGTATGTTACAAACTTTGGGTGGTGATAGTACATAAAAAAATATGACTAAAAACTCTAATAAACATAACCTCTTAAACGCACCATTTTGAAGTTACAGACCTTCAAAGGTGCAACTATAAAAGTAGTTTTTATGACGTAACTCTTTGTTGGAAAAAGAAAACTTAATGAAATTTTCAGGGGCTAATCAGCTTTAGGAAATCAATAAATAATGCGGATATGAATAAAATCGAGAAAGCAGAAGGGTGTTTTTTTATCACCCTGTATCCTATTTTTTGCTAAAAAAAATTTTTCTGCAAAGGTACAGCAAGTATCATAAGATTTTTAGAAAGACCATTAAATTTAGAAATTTTTTTGTCTCTTGTGTTTTTTATGTAAAATGTTTAGTTTTCTAGTAAATTTACAAAATGCAGAGAGATGAGTGCTTCCGAATTATTTACATACATTTCTTAAGCCTAGTGAATTTTTAAGAATACAATCAATTTCCAAAATAATTTTTTTAATTAAGTAACCAAAACAGAACTAAAACAAAATATGTTATTATAATAAATGTTGAAATTGACCTCCTTCTGCATCGATACATGCTGTCAGTCTCTTTATAAAGTTAAATCTGACTCTTTGGAATATGAATAGACTATTTCTTATTAAATTAAAGGTTTCTACAATTCGCAGTCTAAGTTGATCTTCTGTATCAACAGGGGTTGCATAAACTTGAGATTTCGCGTGTCCCCAAAGATAAAAATCGACAGGATTCAAGTCCGGTGATCGCGGTGGCCAGGCTATTGGTGCATTATATCCTCTTCCAATCCATCGATTAGGAAACCGCATATGTAGATACTCTCTAACATGAACACTGAAATGCGCAGGTGCCCCGTCATGGAGGTACCACATGTATTGTCTCAAATTTAAAGGAACATTTTCCATTAACTCAGGGAGATGGTTTTCTAGGAAGTTTAAATATTCTACTGCATCAAGCCTTTGAGGTAGAAAGAAAGGCCCGAGCAAATAGTCACCTATTATTCCAGCCCATACGTTGACTGAGAATCGGTGTTGGTGATGACTATCAATGGTAGCATGAGGATTTTCGTCTGACCATGCATGTGCATTGTGCAAGTTCAGTAAACCATCTCGTGTAAAGGTGGCTTCATCGGTAAATAAAATGGAGCTAATAAATTCCACATTATGTTGGTGATGGTTAAGTATTATTCGGCAGAATTCTAGGCGTCGGGGAAGATCTTCAGGCATTAAATGTTGCACTTTTTGGAGATGGTAGGCATAAAGGCCGTTTTCCTTCAAAACACGCCAAACTGACATTCTGGAAAGCTGTAACTGATTAGCTGCCCTTCGCACACTTTCTCCCGGATTTTGTTCAAAAGATCTCAAAATTTGTTCATCTTGCGCGGGTAGTCTTCTAGCAATTCTACCACAATGTATGTAACGGGGTACCACACTACCAGTTTCAATAATCCGTCTGTGAATCCGAGTAAATAATTGTGTAGACGGCTGACGTCTCTGCGGATAACGTTCTATGTATGTTCTTCGAGCAGCTGTTGCATTTCCATTACATAATCCATAAATAAAATGCATTTCGGCATATTCTTGATTAGTAAAACGATTGTTATCCGCCATTGTACTCACAAATTAATAATTCGTCAACAGACACGATTAAAATATGGTAACAAATGTCAACTATGTTAAAAGTGACAGGCGCCTACTTTTTGAATACGTCAAATTTAACACCTAGCGGTGAGTAAACTCCCTTTGCATTTTGTAAATTTATTAGAAAACTAATCATTTTACATAAAAAATGCAAGAGACAAAAAAATTTCTAAATTCAATGGTCTTTCTAAAAATCTTATGATATTTGCTGTATCTTTGCAGAAAAATTTTTTTTGGCAAAAAATAGGATACAGGGTGATAAAAAAACACCCTTCCGCTTTCTCAATTTTATTAATATCCACATTATTTATTGGCTTCCTAAAGCTGACTAGTCCCTGAAAATTTCATTATGTTTTCTTTTTCCAACAAAGAGTTACGTCACAAAAACTACTTTTGTAGTTGCACCTTTTAAGGCCTATAACTTCAAAACGGTGCGTTTAAGAGGTTATGTTTATTAGAGTTTTTAGTCATATTTTTTATGTACTATCACCACCCAAAGTTTGTAACATACTTTACACCCTGTATACAGAAAAAGTGTCGGGAAAGATTTCCAAATCGTGTAATCCCCTATAGAGAAACATTTTCCAATGTTGTAAGATGGCCTCGAGAAACACACAAGCTTTTCAGTAACACTCGAGAACGTGCTATTGCAATCAGGGCACAAGACGAAGAACTTATTTTGAATACAATTAATTGAAGATGACCACATATTAGTACTACAATGCAAACCCTCATTTAGTAAATCCTCGTCAATTCCAACTCGAGTTTAAAATAAATGTTTGGATCGGTGTTATTGATCGGTATCTAATTGGTTCAGTTAAATATTGAATCGACTAAATGGCGAAACTTTTTTAAAATTTCTCCAAAACGCTCTCCCGGATCTACTTGACGAGATGTCACTACAACTCAGACTGCAACATTGGTTTATGCATGATGGAGCACCCCTCATTTTAGAAATATTGTAAGAGACTTTTTAAACCACATCCATATAAATGAATTGGAAGAGGAAATAATTGCCTACAAGTTTGGCCTTCACGATCACCAGACCTCAACAAATGTGAGTTCTTTCTTTAGGGAACGTTAATAGAATTAGTGTATTCCTCGTCAGTTCATCTCGAGAAGAATTGTGGAATCGCATTACGGATAAATGCACATTCATTAGAAACAATCAACAGTTGTTGGATAGAGAAGAATATATTTATGCCTGAGAGAAAACGGTGATAATTTTGAACAATTTGTATAACTTATCAGTGCAAATTGTATGTTATTTCTTGTTATTTCTGTTGTTTAAGTTGTTTGGTTTTCTATTAAATTCTACTTATTTCAACTTTTTTCCTCATCCTCAAGTATAAATTCATAACCAACTTTTGAATTTTCGATAATTTTAAATAATAGCTGCAATACGTATTATTAGTTATTCGTGTTTTAGTTGAAACCGACAAAGTTTTCTATATACTAACAAAAGAAAAATTTTATAATTAAATTCCCGATAAAATATAGGAAAAATTTTTTTTCCGCCAACGGGTTTATATGTTTTTCTTATTTTGAGGTGTTGTGTCACCAAGCAAAGCATGCCGCCTCTAAATCGGGACACCTTGTATACTTTGTTTTCTGAAAAGTGAAAATATTATTAAGTAAAGTAAATTTTGCTATATACCTCGCAATTTTTTTATGTTCCTTGAATAAATAAAATTACCTACTATGACTTACTTTCTTCTGGCACAAGCGTTGTTGTTACATTCTTTTTAGTAACAGTTTTCAAAGTCGAAGTTTCATTTTCAATAAAAATATTCCTCCCAACTCCAGTCTGAGTGTCTGTCTCGTTTTGCACTAGAATTTCTGTCCCATTTTGGTTCAATACCACATTCTCGGTCACAATTTCATTGGAAGATATCGTCATATTTCCATGAAAGGTTTTTGACTCATTTTCACTTGGAGTTTCTGTTATATTTCGAGCCGACGTTTCTGTTACACTTCGATTTAACTCCACATTTTCAGTTGAAGTTTCCTTCATATTTACATCGGAAGAATTCGTCACATTTGCACTCACAATTTCTATTTTAATTCGACTTATTTCTATAATATCTTCACTTGAAATGTTGGTCACTGTTTCATTAGAAATTTTAACCAGGTTTTCAGTTGAACTGACTGGTAAATTTTGATCTGAACTTTCAGTGGTATCGTGACTCAATGTTTTCTTCGTATCAGTTTCTATCACATTTTGATTCAAATTTCCCTCTACATTTTGACTGGATTTCTTCGTCGTATTTGCAGTTTGCATCATATTTTGACTTGGAATATTAATGTTTTGACTTTTGTTCTTATTTTCCTTTTCATTTAAAGTGTCCCTCGCGTTCTGATAGGAATTTTCATTTTTAAAGTAAGGTTTATTTAATCTGTGACTATAGGTTCTCTTCTCCTGATTGCTGTAACCATTATTTACTTCATCTTCGCGTTCTGCAATACCAAGTTGAGTACGACTGGTTTTAATAACACTGAAAATTACACATAAACACAACAACTTTATGGTCTCTGCCATTTTGCGGCTTGTCAGCGACTAATGATTCCGACATATGCTGCGGTTGATAATCTTTGAACTGCGTATTTTATCGGATTTAGTTCGTCATCTAGACTTAGTTGTGGTCAACACAGAGCTATAATAAATAAAAATGATGTATACCAATTAGGGTGGCCCAAAAAAAACGAATATTTTTTTTCGTGCTCTTGTGAAAATATATTACTTTATCATGTTTTAAGAGCCCCCTCAAAAAATCAGCTCAAAAAAAATCGTAAAAAATTTAATTTTTTTTAATATTTTTTCTCGTCATTTTATCATTTTCTAGGTTGAAAAAAATCTCGATTCTGAAAATTTCAAATCGATATTTTAATTTCTAAAGGTAACTCATAATTATTTTAACTTTAAAAGTACCTAGTGTACCTAAAATGTTTTCGAGCGACCTCTAAAAATAAATAGCAACGAACTAATAATTTTTTTTATTGAATTTGATTAACTAAATAATAGAAATAAATCACGATATACCTGAATTTATAAATGTTTGATATTCACAGTGCGGTGGTAAATTTTGTCTCGAGAAATTTTTTAAGTGTTTCGTGATTTATTTCTATTCTTTTGTTCATCAAATTCATTAAAAACAATTATTTCGTTGATATTTATTTTTAGATGTCGCTCGAAAACATTTTAGGTATACTACTTTGAAAGTTGAAATAATTATGAGTGACGCTTTTGAAATTAAAATATCGATTTAAAATTTTCAGAATAGAATTTTTTTTCAACCTAGAAAATGATCAAATAACGAGAAAAAAAAATAAATAAATTTTTGACGATTTTGGAAATCTTGAGTGACCTTTAAAATTTTTTTTTGAGCTGATTTTTTGAGGGGGCTCTTAAAACTAACATATTTTCGAAAGAGACACGAAAAAAATATTCATTTCTTTTGGGCTACCCTAATACCAATACATGTACGCGATAGTCCAGAATAAATTATATTTCTAAGCAATCTATCTTGAAATTTTCTTTTATACGTTACTTAGCTATCTAGCTATATTGCACATTTAAAAAAATGCTTCCTCTTCGAGGGAGGACAGAGTTTACAATGTTTACAAAAAAAAATCAAAAAGTTTAAAAATATCGGAATACATCAAATTTGGTATACATCATACCTGGATAGATTGCCTTATTATATGATAGTATCAAATAACTTAAACAACTAGTAAAATTAGTTTCGATTTCGATTTTTTTCATTTTTCATTTGCAAGGCAACAAATTCATTTTTTTTAAACTTATTTTATTATGGGGTCTAGAATTTTTTACTCTATTTCAAACAAATTCGAAACAAAAAATCTTATCAAATGAAGTCAACCAATGTTAAATAGACATACCTATCTGAAATTATTAAATAATAATGCAATCCTTGAAAGAACTATCTCATATTCTTGCTGTTCTATTTGCACTAGAGATCGGAAATCTTAGGGCGTCTGCAATGTGGTCAGGGTTGGCTGTAGGTGGCTTTCTCTTTTATATAATTTTATTCAAACAAAAAGTGACAAGCATTGCCTTGTTATAACTGCACTCTGAATTTGTCGTTTGAAGTGGGTGCATTCCCAAACACCCTAAAACTGGGGAAAGTTCTTAAGAACTAAAGGTGATCCAATGTCTCTTGACAATTATAATAGACCTATAATACTGTCTTTGAGATTTTCAAAAGCTTTTGAATATGGCTTCTCTAACGATTAACATCTTTTTTAAAGAAATATCATATACTTACAAAAAATCAACATAGATTTCGTGCAAGTATGTCTACCACAACCTCTAGACACTCTTTATATGATAATATATTGATGACTCTGGAAGCATGTGGGTGTCCTGTTGGGTTTTTTTGCGACCTCAGCAGGGCATTCGACTGTGTAAACCATGCACTGTTATTATCTAAATTACATAATGTGGGTATTCGCGGAATAGCACTAAATTGGATCAGGACTTTTCTTGAGAAGGGAAAACAATAAGTCATTATTAATTATTATAATAATCAGAATAATACTTCTGTAACATATAAATCAGAGTACGCCACTGTTAAGATGGGAGTCCCACAGGGCTTAATTTTGGGACCAATGTTCACTTTACTATATATGCCGATGATACATTTTTGGTTTTGTCTAATAAGTCTGATCAAATATTAATGCAAAGTTGTTATATTTTTATTAGATAATTTGAATAAATGGTTTTCCCAAAATTCATTATATCTTAATGTTGCTAAAACTCAAGCACTCCGTTTTCATGCGAGTCCTGCCATTAATTGTAAGAACTTAAGTTAATAAGTAATTAAATTTATAACCTTTACATGCTACATAAAAATGTTATGTTGCATGTATTTTATACCTGTATATTAGAAAATAGTTCGTCATGCATTAAATAATATATTTATTATTGCAAAGGGTACATAAATATGCAGAAAGTTATGTTGAATCACATTTTTCTCTATTTCCAGATTATGAATTCCTTCATTGTAAATGTCTTTGGTCACCTCTCTAGTCATAAGTAAATCCATATGTCATAAAAAAGTGCGTGTTCCTTTAATTTCTAAAGAAAAAATATATTGTAAGTAAATTTGAATTGTTTGAATATTTTACTATTGATATTAAGTTAAAATGCATATCGTAAAAGGAGTTGGTTTAGGAAATAATTTTTATCAAAACGCAACACAAAGTGCAATTTATGACAAAAATACATGTTACTTCAACAGTCCCTCGCTGATTCTCTTGGCACAATACATACTTATTAATACTTTTATTTTCATTGGCAGAATACATTTACATTTAAATTTACTTTTTGCAGCTGAATGTATTAATTTTCGTCACAAATAAGTATGCATTCTAAGGCAAGTAAAACATTTACTCCTAAAACAACACAAGTTATTATGTTTAATATTATATTGACAATAAAACTAACCTACAATGAAAAAGTTAACCTCCTACAGTGGCATACACTCGGAATTCCCTTAATTTAGTTATATACTTAAAATAAAATATTTGCTACTGTTGAGATTTTAAATTATTACAGCGTTACAGTGTATTTATTTTTATAGGCCAGGAAAATAAGCTGGGAAATGACCATTTCGCGACTTTTTGTTTCGGCAAGCTGAATTTATCACTACAGATGCTAAATATTATGTACAATAACATATTAGTTTTCACAGTCATAAAAATTGGGAGAAGATTGTTTACAGGGTAGTTAATTGTATAATTTTTACATAAATGCACGTTTTTCGCTTATAACTTTTTTCCGTTCATTTCCACGAGAAAACAGTAAAGTACATTTTTCTGTAACTCCATTATTTTTCAACGAATCTTGACGATTTTTTTTTTAACTTAAAGATCTGTTCATAAGCTTTCCGAATATGTAATAATATATAACTATATCACGCTCGTGCGTCGTATATTTCATTATATTCATTTCCAGATTTCGTGTGTGTTATTAGACAGTGTTAAGGAATGAGAGGATTGGATGCCAAAACGTTCTGGTAATAATAACGGAGTTTATAAAAGTTTAATTCAAAAGTCATAAATAAACTTCTTCTGTTTATAACTTTTGATTTAATCAATATTTTTTGACGCCCGAGGGTTAGATTTGTAGGTCTTTTGAAGAGAAAAAAAAAGTACTTCACTCTTTTCTCGTGGAAATGAACGGAATAAAGTTATAAGCGAAAAACGTGAATTTACTTAAAAATTATACAATTAACCAGCCTGTAAACAATCTTCCCCCCATTTTTGTGACTGTGGAAACTAATATGTTATTGTACATAATATTTATTATCTATAGTGATAAATTCAGCTTGCCGAAACAAAAAGTCGCGTCCCACTCTATATTTCCCGGCCTATCCTGCGCTAAGACAACAAATCGGCCTATAATTTGATATATTTGACTTATCACCTGATTTAAATAACGGAAAGACAAAATTTGATTTCCATAATTCGGGATAGTAGCCTGAGCCTAAAGAGCTTTGATAAAGCAATGAAAGTGGATTTCATCAACATCCATCGTTTTTTGCAATAATAATAATCTTCGAAAACTGATTTTTTCGCGTACAATCTTTATTTTACAGCTAGAAAATTATTGAAAATGACTTCAGATACCTTAAATTGTAGGTAATTTAATTGCCTACAACATAAAATGACTAATTTTCCGATATGTCGTCTAAATTTTCGTGGGCATTAAAAAACAGTGAAAAAGACACGTAAATTTGCCAACTTATCGTCTCTTCTTTCGAGTTACTTCTTTCATACTATCATTCTACATACTCATATAGTGCAATGAAATGTCTACTAGCAATTTTTTCACGTTCAAACTTTAATTCGACTGGAGTATAGTGATTTTTTTTTGTATTGATGAAAAATTTATTTGTTGGTAGTTACACTTTTTTTAAGGAACGAATAAATTGCTATTATTTTTGTGTTTTCGACTTTTATATACTTTTAAATTTATAGTAATTAGAGCATACTCCTTTTGCATGTGTAATTTATTACATCGTTGTCTTTGTTAATAATTTAAGATTTCAGGCTCATAACAAATATCATTAATTAATGTATTATTTTCATTAAAAACTCGGTAAAATCTTCAATCTTTATTTCTATTAATACTGTTTAGATCATATTAATTAAACTACTTAATAACAATTTAATAAATAATATTATTCTAAAATAAGTTAAGGATGAATATTGTAATCTTTGGAAATCCATCAATGATTACGAATTTGTTAACAATAACTTTGGTTCTGTCCTTATGAGTTATGTTCATTTCTTCCCGCTCATATTAACTTCCATTTCCGATTGGATCCAAGGTAAGAACTTCGCAATGTTTGTGTACACTCCGGGCCATCCCTCGACTCCACAGCCCATTCCAAAACTCACGACTCCCAAAGCGTACCAGATTCCGTCATCAGTGGACATCATCAGCGGGCCTCCCGAGTCTCCCGTGCAACTGTCCTTTCGATATTCGCCTCCTGCACATATTTGGGTATTCTTGAGGATTATGTTACGTGAGAAGTATTTTTCCTTGCATTTCTCTTTGTCGAATGAGGGAACCTCGACCTTCAATTTGATCTTGCTGATTAATTCTGAAAATAATAAGAAATGTTCAGCGGACTCATGATCAGCATTGACTTATTTGAGACGAGACTAAATCCGGAAACAACAACATGCTCTAAATTTACCTGCACACTCGAGTACTTATTCGCAGTTTTGTCCAACGCTTTTATGACTAAGGGCGCAAACCGACCATTGCTTGTTAAAAACAGTGTAAAACACCTAAAGATTTTACAAAATATTAAGCAAAATATAAACAAAGATAACAAATTAAAATTGAAATATGTACTCTAATAGGAATGTCAAAGAGATTATGATTTAAATATTTGGCAATCTAGGGCATTTTAAATAGGTAGGTCATACAATAAAATATACGTACTACAAACCGAATATTTAACTGAACATAAATATTCAATTATAAAACATAGTGAAAAAAAAAACGTTAACAATATTAAACATACGAAGTAACCTGACATTCGAAAACAATAATTATTGTCATTATTGTCGAAAATTTATTTAGAGGAATTTTTAAAATCGGAGAACACTTTTTCACTGCAAGTTTTTTCGAGGAGTTTCTGTTTCTTTTTTGAAAATTTTTCTTATAATATACGGGGTGTCTCACGGTGACGGCCCATTAGAATTATTTCTGGGACTATTTCGATTTGAATTTTGAAAATTTGGGATACCGGGTTTTCGGACATGCCCTTCTCAACTAAAATAATGGCGTCCATGTACCACTTCGCCATCAACTTGCTTATTTTAAATGGAACACCCTATATTTTATAGTAATTTTGGATTCTACTTGTTATTTTAGATGGACTTTTATGAAGTTTCCCTATTCCTAAAATTAACCGTTTTCGAAATGTAATTTTTTTCAATTAAATTGAGAGAAACAGTGACTAGCTTCAAACCATGTGTATTTTATAGTAAGAAAGATAAAGCAACAATATTTATAGGGGGGGATAGCTAGACCCCTAAGCTTCCCATCCATACTTTCAAAATGGCTTAATTGCATACAGGGTGCTAAAAATTTAATGCCGAGTATAGTTAACTTCAAACCTTCATAAGTCTTTTTTTTAAATGGAACACCCTGTTTTTCTATATTCTGATACACAATTTTATTCTCTTTCGAACGGTATCAAGGTTCCCTATACCTATCTCTTTTAGTTTTTAAGTTATCTACTATTTTTTGTGTAATCACCTAAAATCATGTAAATTCTTGCGAGGATAGCTGTGGAATGTTTAGCAAAACTTCAAAACAAACAACTAAACTGTCAATTTGTTGTTAGTCTCTTGCAGTGACAGTTTAATTTAGTGTTTGTAAGAAATGGAAAACAATACATATTCAAATGCTGATATTTTAAATTTATTATTCATTCACGGACGTTGCAATGGGATTTTAAGCAGAACATGTACAGTTTTTAATGAGACATATCCAAATTTGCCACCAATGAGCAGAAGAAAGTTAAGAAGAATTTTAGCAACTCAACTATGGTCGAATTTGTGCAGAAAGGATTTTACCAAAACCAGTAACTTCAAATGAAGATAATGTAATAAATGTGCTAGCCTATTTTAATATTCATCCAAAATCCTCAACTCGTGCCGCAGAGTATGATTTAGGCAACGACCTCAGAAAGGATAGACAGTGCATTGTCTTGGTTTGTTTTGTTCTACTGTAAATATTTTGAGAACTCAGCCTCCTATTGGCTAAAGACATGTGGTAAGGTGCGCGCGCAGTACTTGCTCTATGCTAGATGTTTATTATTGTTTACGACTATCGGCCGCCATTAATTCTTTGCGTGCTTACTGAGTTTAACGTTGTGTTTACCGTGGATTATTAGTTTCTTTGGCAGAATTTATAGTTTTTGTGAATAGACAATGGGAAAATATTGTGTTATATGTAGATTTCGCTTTAAAAGTGGAGGCAATCGCTCTTTTCACAGGTAGGTAGATTTACCATGGGCGTAACAGATAACAGACGGTAGTTTAAAACAAAATTTGAAATAGAAAATTTTCAGTGCAATAATATTGAAAATATAAAATATTTTTTTAAAACGTGAATTGTGTGTTACGGTTAAATAAAAAGTAACATGAATTGCAAAGGCAACATTATTTAAAAGGAAATATACCTAGGTAATTTGATTTTAGGATTCCTTCGAATGTTGAACGCCGAGACGTTTGGCTCTCTCGCATTTTGAGCTGTATAGGAAAGGAAAATAGTCCTAAAGATAGTGTTGTATGTTCAGATCACTTCACATCAAGTGATTTCTTAATAAGACCTGGTGGCCGAGTTTATCTTAAGGACACAGCAGTTCCTGAGTTCCCAAGTTCGTTTAGTCAAAATACAGGACCCCTATTAAAATTGTATAAACAATTTTTTGCACATAATTCGGGATCACTTTGTA